ACCCGGGGGGGGGGGGGGGGCGTACTTTTATGTTTTGCATGCCTTAGCGGTTAGACCATTGACCACGCGTCCTCGAGAGGACGGAGCTCAGGGGGGGGGGCGAATTATTTTCACAGTACCGCAAACGAGAGCGCATCCATGAGCTACGTCTAGGTGAGGTAACGTTGACCAAAACACGCCATTAGCTACTGATGTATCCATGAGTACCGTTGTCCTACCCGACACCCTGCTCTCTCACTTCGCCGGTGTTGGTGAGAACGGCTGTTAGCTCGTTCCCCGCAGTGACGCCAACGATATCCTTGCCGCGGGAGGTCTGCGAGAGGGTAGGCGTGTGGCGCTCGAGCGTGTCTCCCAGCCCTAGCTCTCCGCAAGCGTTCTGACCAAACTGTCGAGGTGTTGCGAAAGACGGCCGGGCAAGCGGAGTTGACACCCACAGCAGGATACAGTAGTAGGGCCTAACAGCGGGGTGCCCAAAGCCGTAGGCCTCACATACGGTCGTGCTATGCACATTTTCATGCATCAGGTCCCCGCGCACTGCTTTGACGCTCCTTGCGCAACAAGTTGCAGCGGCGACCGAGGGAGACATGTCGTTATGCTCGGTTGGGCTGACTTGCTGACCTGCAGCAGTTTAGAGCTGGTACATCGTCGAAAATACCGGGATCAAGGGAGAAGCCTCGCTTTCTCAACCACGTGATCATTGCGCTTGTATCAGCATGTATATTCCACACAAGATGCACGTATCCTCATCGATGCGTGTCCTAAGCAAGGATCGCAGGAGTTGCGGCGAGAATTCCCTGCTTAGCTGTAGACTGCTGCTGTGCTGCTGTAGACAATACGTATATCCAGCACAACCCGCCCATCGCTGATCAACACGTGACAGCTATTTAAGCGACAACAACAGGGACACAACTGCTTGAAGGTTTCGTCAGCGGCCCACCACCGTGTCATCTTGAAGAACGTCAAGGATTCGCTCTCACAACACAGCACTGCCAATCTATGTATGCTACTGCTGTAAGTACATGTGTGACAGCACTTGTGCCCTTCGGCAGTACAGCAGTAGAGGGGGGCTGCACAACAAACGTGAATCAGCCAAGAATACAGCATATCTCTTGCTACGATCTCCGCTTGTACTTACCCCATACAGCTCCCGCTCTTGGAACCTGTCGATATCAACGTCCATTCTCCGTGGTGCGATGAGAGTCAAATGAAGCTCGCGGGCTCGCGGTTCTTGCTCGGCTCGCTGCTGGCACCTGGCACCCCCTTTTACATCTCTTGAAGACAACAGTGCCAGAAAAACGCCAACTTCGTTTTTCGGGGGGCGAGAGGCATCTCTCCAGTAGCGAAGGCCGCCGCCCCACCATCTCTCGCGCCACCTACGGCCTGTTCTTCTCCGTATACCCCTCTAAGGTTTGTGCGGCATGAAGCAAAACAGGAATGGCCATGAATATCAACTTTAGGTTAGGCTACACTGCCGAGGTAGTAAAAGAAACATGTGTGAGGTCAGAGTTATAGTTGCGAAAAAGTGGATTCGTCGGTAGTCTGCGGCCGGCGTTCGCTCGTAAGAAGCGGCGAAATGGCACCGGTCGGCGAGATGTCACCGGGGTGCCTTGAAAATGGTACATAGACTAGAGACGGAGCAAAATAATTGCATTTCCGCACCGGCGGTCGGTATTCCGAACCGGGGTCGGTGAGATATGAGACGGTACCGGTCGGAGAGATCGCACCGGGATTCGAAAAGAAAGCAAGGAAAAATCTACTCTTTGTTGGGGCCCTTCCTATTGTTCGGAAAACACACGTTGACATATCTGTGCATTTGTGCATACAGCTTGATGGGTGATAGCTTGTCCGTGTGCGGCCTTTTTTTTTTCTTAGCCAATGAAGGTCCAGAGTTTACAAGGAGGAAGTCTTCTAGTAGAGAGCGTGAACACGCGAACGTTTGGTGCGAACGCTGCACACACTACATCATGTATTCAGTCAGGGGAGTCGGGGTCAACGTATATAGCTTGGTAAGAAATAATTTTAGAAATAATTTTCAAAAAAAATTGGCTTATAAGCTTGGTCAGTTGGGTGGGCACATACATGGGGGAAATATATACATACAAGGTTGTTTCAACAGCATGCCGACGAATATCGTCGGCGTGCTAGTCCCAAGCTCTTTTTTTTATTTATTTCTTGCGTGGTGCAGGACACACCTTATTCGCCAACAAAGGAAAACAACACGCGTTCCACTTGTAGGAAAATAACGGAGAGTCACGCGGCAGAGGCGGGACCCCGCAGTTTACAGCTGACGCAAACGGAAAGATACTGTACACGAGCTACACAAAGCAGTCCAACCCGAAGAAGCTAACCCTAACTAAGTCGTCCTGTAGACGCTTGAAAACTAGCATGTATGTGTAGACTAGTATGTTCGGCCGGAACGTGTGACACATGGTGTCGCCCGAGCTCTCCCGAAAAGAACGGCCGCGACAGGCCCTGAACGGAGAGAGAGGGCACTTTTCAGATGCGTACATGCACTTTTTGTGGCGAGGGACTCCATGTTTTGAACAATCTCCTCGCTAATGATGCTCGCTGATGATCAGTCCAGTACGCACTATCACACCCGGATGAAGGAGACCACCAGAGGGCGGACCGGAAATAACTTAGTCTCACTCGGCAGAAAAGAAAACGACCGGCCGGGTGAGCTACTAGCATTTATTTGTCGTCACAACAAACAGCAACCCACATCATGATTGGCGTACTCTATTCTGCTTGCCGTTGTTGGAGATGCGCAACGCTACGCGAACAAGGAGGCGGAAGCAAGTCTAGGAGAAAAAAACTAACAGGTAGCAGGCTGAAACCACCACGGATGAACTACTACACCTCATGACGCCTGCCGTCCGTGTTAGATGCGCACCGCTACACGATGGGGGCACCCATCGTTTGTGGCGAGGGACTCCACGCTGTCAAAAATCTTGCTACTCCACGCTGTCAAAAATCTTGCGAATCATACTCGCTGATGATCTGTCTACAGTAATAGTACGCACGATCACACCCGAATGAAGGAGACCACCAGAACGCGGACCGGTAGCTTAGCCCCGCTCTTTCGGCAAGAACGAAATACCCCCGGGCGAACTTGCATTTTTGTAGTCACAATGACATCATGAATCATTGAATCATGATTGATTGACGCTATTTTGCTTGACGTGGGAGATGCGCATCGCTACCAGCACATTTAGAGCATCACTGCACAAGAAACCACACACAAACGCCAACAAGCAATGGCAGATAAATTGTGGCACGCAGCATGCAGGATCCTATCTCTCTGTTCAACCAGCCGTTCCCATGGCGAAACAGACGAGGAACAGTCAAGGCCCAGACGTGTCGGTCACACGAGGTGGAAGCTGCTCGAACTCGGGGAGGGGTCATGGTTTGCGATTCCCTACCGAACCATACTTGAGGCGGCACGAGATTCCCACTGTGGCTCGAGATCAGCGTTTGAGACCGGGTCGGACAAGGGGTGGGCTATGCGAACGAAAATGACAGGGACAGAAAAAAAAGTGAATTTAGGTCGATAGAGACCCAAGCTCTTGAGAATATGGTCACTTTTCATGCCTCGGCATTTCTTTCTCTCGCGGCACAACGAATATTTTCTCGCGATTCCTTCTCAGGGGCAACCTGGAGGCTCGTCGGTACATTATCGCTCGTGCCCCAGAGCTCAACAGGCCACCGTGGCGCATGTGGTTGACGCTCAAGGTCGCGAAAACTGGCTCAATACCCAGGGGACGCGTTCCGTGGTGACAAAGCCTGCCGAACCAATTCCGAAACCTCTCTGTTAAATGCCACCCGCTGGGAGATATTGCCCCCGCAGGTTTTGACATGGATACCACAGCACCATCAACAACGTACTCCGATTTTTTCCGAATGGCTGTGGGCCATGACACGGATACCAGAGCAGCATCAACAACGTTCTTGCGCGACGTATGCATCTGCATCAGTACTCCTTCTGGGGGCTGGCCATCATGTGAACTATGTGCGTCATCTCAGCTGATGTGCCTATAACATGGGCAAGTCCGATTTAAAACGTCAAAAGCCAAAAGCTGCTCCAAAAAAAAAAAAAGTCCGAAGGGCTGCGGGGCATGACATGGATACCACAGCACCATCAACAACGTATAGGTACGTGCGTACTCCGATTTTTTCCGAATGGCTGTGGGGCACGACACGGATGCCACAGCAACATCACCAACGTACTACGCGACGTATGTATGCATCGACATCAGTACTCCTTCTCGGGGTGGTCATCATGTGTAGAACTACGCATGTGCCTCAGCTGATGTGCCTAAAACATGTGCAAGTCCGATTTCTATCTGAAAAATTTTCTGTGGGTAGAGATGGATTCGTATTCGTTGTATTTCAAAAAAAAAAAAAAGACGACGATGATGTCAAAGTCAAAATCTTCACCAAACCACAAAAACAAATAAATCTGCCGGGCCACACAAAAACCCGTCCCGCCCAAACTCGCTCTCACGCCGGCTCTTCCCATCATACTCTTTCTACTTTACTGCTGTACCCCTAGACTACTGCTGTACTGCCGCGTGAAAAAAGTCTGTTCCTCCCCCTCACCTCACAAATCACAGCTAGCTCTCCCCGCCAGAGCAGCCCGCACCCTCTTTCTCTCCCTCAATCAATCTACGCTATACATCAATGGCTCGCCAAACCCGCGCCGACGTCGCCAGCTCCGCTGACAAGTCATCGGCCTCCACCACTGGATCCTCTCTTCTACACCCGCCGCCAGCGAGGGGTGCCCGCCCCATCTACTACCCCGCCGCCCGCGAGCGGTTCCGGAACAAATGAATTTGAAGTGAAAAAGTCTACCCTGACCTCTTGGAAGCTAACCATAACATCTACAACGACGGTGGCATTCTAGCACCCACAAATGATGACATTGACTACATCAATGACTTCATCCTAGGTAAAATGCCAGGAAGTGTTCGAAAGTGTTCACGAACAAGTTAGTTCAGACAAGATCATCAAAGACGGCGAAAACATGCCAGATGTTGTTTCCGTCGAATGCCAACGTCCCCGGCACGCCACCGCACAAACTCAACCTAGAAGTTGGAGCATTGACCTTCTTCATCAGGAACAAAAACTTGCGGTCTCGTCAATGGCAAACGGGGAGTTATTCCGGGGATATTGCAAGGCGCGATATATTGACGTTGAAGTTCTCTCCGATGAATCCCATATGAAGGTACCACGCATCTGCTTCGACGCCAAAGTGGGAGCGCGTGGTATTACCTTTCACCGTTACCAATTCCCTGTCAGATTGTGTCACGCTATGACCACCAACAGATCTCAAGGACAAACTTAAAAAAAAGTCGGCCTCGGTCTTCTGCCACGGTCAGTTGTACGTTGCCGCTAGCCGTACAACATGCAGGGACAATGTCCTATGCGTCGTTGAACATGGAACATCTCGTCAACGACGTCCCCCACGTGCACAACGTCGTCTTCTCTGAGTTCATTGTTACAGCCACGTCAACCTCCCCCTACTTTTGACATTCAACTACCTCGTCACCAAGGCCAAGGTGAAGGATGCAACAATGACAACAGCACATCTCCCAATGATGGCGACAGCGGTGGTGCGGGTAACAACAACGGCACCAACGCCAACAACGGGAACAACAATAACCAAGAATCTTGGCAAATTGTCAATGAAATCGGTGATGGGGCATGCCTACTAAGATGAAGATGCATTGCCCGTCGAGTTTTCAACGACCCCAACATTCACCAACTGGTCAGAACGCACCTCATCGACCACATCAACGACAACCTCCATATCCCCTTTCCAGGCTCTGGACAAGACACTTTGCTGGAATCGATTCAGAGAACATTCAAATAGCTGGTCAACCTGGATAACCGTACCAAAGTGTCCCGAATACCTCCATCTCATGTATGGCTGCTCCAACTGCCTATGCTACCCATGTGGAGATTGTAGCTGCCCCACAGTTGTACAACCTTAACATAAGAATTACCCTCGTCGGTCGACCTTTGATCACCTTCATAGTATTCTGTCCCGGAATACCTTCATCTCATGTCTGCTCCAACTGCCTATGCTACCCATGGCGAGATTGTAGCTGCCCAACAGTTGTACAACCTTAACATAAGAATAAACCTCGTCGACCACCTTCATCTCTGAAGATTGAATGGCAAGGGGTAAAAGTCGTTCAAGCTGGGCCCGCTTGCCTTGGTGACGTGTCTACCCTGGGCTAACCTTATTGCCGCCCACCACTAACCTCTTCAATTTCGTCGCTGAACGGCGTTTCACGGTGTCTCGAAGGCTCGGTACCAAGAAACTGATCAATAGGAACCACGGCTACCCGAGACCTCTCCTGGGCTATGTGCGCTGCTGGCCCTCAAGCACCTGGTACCGCCATCGAGCGTGTTTCGTCACTAAAGAGAGAAGCCGTAAAAGGGACGCGGTCGCCAATTCGATGCAGCGTGGGCATCAGGGTTTTCGTCGCCGACAAGTGGGCTTTTTACGAGGCGTTTGTCGATCGACACGCACGTGCAAGGTCGGGAAACGCCTGCACGCCCCACAAAACTTCAGCGACACGAGCTGTAGCTCCAGTGTAGACGCGTACCAACGATTTTCTCTTCCATCGCATGTCTGGTTCAAGGCGACGATGAAAGCGTCCAGGCACTTCCTTCGCCCTGAGATGGTGAATGGCAGGTACGCATGTAGGCACGTCAACAAAACATATTGTGGGCCTTGGGATAGTCTATTTGATGCACGGTTACTTGATTGAAGTCGGAGACAGGCAAAAAGGTAATCGAAGTACGGTCTACGATTAACTGCCAACAGCAGCGCTTGGTGAACAAACACAGCGGTATCCCGGCATCGATCACCTGTTCATGTCTTGCATTCACCTTCGACACCCCTGCTACAAATGCTGATTTGGGTCGGGGGCAAACGCACTATTTAGTAGCTCGCTACAAGACAAGAAAACAAAAGACAACTTGCTTTTTCGGATACAACATAAACATTGATGGAGCCTGTTGCATGCAGCCGGAGTCATTCTTGAAACAGAATCACTACGCAAGACAGTGAAGGTCTCCACCACCATTCCCGGCAACGCCCAGGCAACAGGTCCAAGGCAAACTCTTAGAACACAACTACTCTGGAAACCACAGAACCAGGTGGGAAATTCCCAGGCCAACAGAGAGCAGCTGCGAACGTTGAGATCAACCTTCATGGTCGACAAAAGTAAAACCCTGACTTTGACTCGGCAGATCACCAACTGACAGTTGGTTCCTTCTGAACCACCACACACGACAAGCATCAACAGAGGCTACACCGTAGGATCGGGAGGGATACACACGCCTGCTCGGTTGTTGAGCAGCACATCATCATTAGCACACAACAAGAAAATAGGCAAGGTCTGGATGTGTACTTGTAACGACAGCATTCAGTAGCATGAATAACACTTTCTGTGCCTTTCTATGTCTTTTTAGGATCTTTCAGAAGGCGTGCTCTCCTTGCCTCTCTAAGTCGAATGCTCTCCACACAATTCTGGCTCGTGGACATGTTGTCGATTGGTGGTGTATTCAAGATGCCCAGCAGAGAGTCGATGCACACGTCCAACATCTCATCTGTATCATTACCATTTACAGAAATAAAATATGGCGACACACGGGTGCGGTACAAAGTGCAAACAGACGTGGAATTGGTGCCGTGCGCGCGCAACAACACCTCCACTGCGACCTCAAACCCAAATCCCAGCGAAAATTCCTGGCTGGACTTTTGGCTCTCCAATTCCTAGCGGGCAAGGCGATTTCTGGGTAACTGGGATTTGAATTCTCAGTTTTCGGGCGAAAAACACTCCCACAAGGAGTGGTATGTCGCGGGTTTCACGAACTAATTTCCTTCCATAGAGTTGGTCTAACCCCGAAACTTGACAATAAACCTAAACACTCCGTTCGTGTGCCTGTATCGCAAAGGATGACATGCATCTTACCCTGTAAACTTGCTATGCGAAAGTGGAATCCAGGCCCATTTCCTGAACAGGCATGACATGGGTATACTATCCCCTCTATACAGTTTCTCCGTGGGATCAGGATTCATTTCTTGGCCATAGTCAACTGTCGACCCAGCCCTTCTACTTTTGCCGGGGAAGTCATGTGCCTAGCCTGGGTGCAAATATCGGCCACAACAAAGTGCCATCTCCCACACCATTTGTTTCGTGAACGCACACCGGTCTCCTCATGGGTCGTTCCGATGTATCCCTGCCGTTGCTTGCTCACCCCCGCTTTATTGCGTCGCAGAATTCAAACGATTACAACAGTATTGGAGCTCGGCTGCAGCACATGGCAGCTCGGATGCGCTCTAACCCTAAGTTCTGTTGTACACAATTGCCCGTGCCATGCCACCTGACCAACACGAGTCTCAGCGGACAAGAGCGAACAGGCTGTACGTTGATGTATCACAGATATGTCTAAGAAGGGCTGGGGGCCGACGGGTGGGACAAATACAGCGTGCTTTATTTCCTTTCGACAGTGCCCTTGGGTAACCATTTCCTTTGGGCAGTGCGCTTGGTGGCCTCACGGCCGCTCTGCAACATCGCAATAATCCGATCCGCCATCACTGAAGTTGGCACAATCGTAGAGGGTGTGCTTCCGCGCCCCAGAGGCAAGGGTCGCCACGGGCGCTCATGAGAGCGAAAGATGAGTCAGGCGCCTACCACACAAACATGTTTCCGTCCAGGTTTTCCCCGAAACGAGTGTAAGAATGCACACAACACGGAAAAAACAATAAAAAAAACGTTTGTTTACCCAACAGCCGCCGAGACCTATGTTGACCCAATACTTAACGATGAACGACTGAAAGTTTCTGGGCTGCTCCTCTAAAAGCCAATTTTTCGTCGGATGGCAAACCCTCCCGGCTGTGGCTTCTTTCAAAACAGACTTCGACAGGCTTGGGCTTCTCGCAATATCATGTATTGTTCCGTGGAATGCATAGCGCGGTCAAGATATATCCCAATATTCAACGCTACTCAGATATTCTCCGCGTTTGATTTGGGAGTCGCGAAGGGGCACTCCAAACTCTTGATTGAAACATGTACATGTCATAGCCAACTACCCTGCCATACGTCCTACTTTCCGAGACAGGCCACCAGGTATTGCCTTCAGACGGTCAGTATTGAGTGTGGGATCAACGTAGGTCTGGTCTGCTGGTGGGTCACCTAACGTATGTTTCTTGATTCTGGATCACATGTTGGCAAGAATCCTGAGTTTGGGACAGACTACAGAAATATGTTGGTTGGGTAAGCACCTGACCCCTCACGCCTGACTCGCCTTTCGCTGTCATGAACTCTCCGCAGACATCTTATCTTCACTAGGGTGCGTGAATACCCTCCATCATACCGAGTGCGCCGCGTTCCTTTTTCATGGCGGAGTCGGCGATTGCAATTTTTCAGAGGGGCCGCCAGGCCACCGAGCACTTGATATGTATTTCTATAACTTCCACAACCTTCCATTTTTTCTGACCTACGGAATTTGGATCGATTTCGCCCCCGCACTTGGCCGAGTATTTTCCAGTCGAAATCTCAGCCCGGTAAGGGTCGTTCTTAACGAAGAAATCAGACCTCGAAATCACATTTCGATATAAGAATACAAGAGTCGGATCTACCCAAATCCGGACAGAAATGGCCTGTGTGTCTTAACGGGAGATCTGCCAAATGGAAACGAATCTCTGCAGTCCACCACGAACAACCCGAGAGGTCCGTCGCTTGCCAACTGCCAGATTGCTGTTGTGACGTACTGTTATGACGTGGCCACACCACATGGGGAGCTATCGCTCCCGAGAAGCACACACCAAACGCGTACATGGCCTCTGTGCGGTACTGACACGATGTCTATGCATGTGACACTTTGAATCGACCCTTGTCCAACGGAAAGCCGCCAATTCGTCTGTGCATTTGAAGTTCGACAACCCACGGGAGATTGCCCCACAGACCAACACATCCCACACACGTTTTGTTTCGGGACCAGCCACGTGCAACAACGATGCGCAGTCACCCTCCCTTTGGGTTGGCTTTTTGTGCTCTTTCTTTCCTCTGTGCTCGGCGGTGGATGGAGCTAGTGTGGATGGGGGTAGGTGGGCACGCGTCGTGTATGCGAGTAGACCGTGGTCCCGCAACTATTCCACTTCAACAAGTTCATGGGGGGAGTAGATATCTCGGACCAGCACAACGGTGCGTACCAGACACAACACCGTGCTAAAAAATATTTTTGGCGACGTCTATTTGAGCAGAAGTTGATGCAGGCCTGTACGAACGCGTGGTTGATGTTTCGCTGGTGGTCGAGACACATGCAGAGTGGGGTGAAGGAGGCTATCGAGCAATTGGAGGAAAGGGGGGTGTTCGAAGGCGAAGAAACTGCCGATGGGCTGCTTCTCAAGGGGCTGCGAGAGGAGGGCGAGCGTTTCGCTACTATTGAAAAGCAGTCAAGATCAGTTTGGATGAGGGAGCTTAGCTGCTTTCTCATGTCTTCGTGCAATATTGGCAACGCCGAAAGGGGGGGTCGGGGGCGTAAAAGCGCCCTTCCAGTGTCGACATTCGAGTGGAGTTGGGGGATGGCAACCTTCAAACTCTGAGGGGAACACAACGCTTCTGTTGCATGTCGAGAACGTGTGACGGTCGTACCCCACACAACCCTAACCGGAAGAGTAAGCCTCGGGGGAGGAAAGTTAAAACTGTCTGCCGGTGCACTCAGTATGAGAAGTTGGATGGCGTTGTAATTTGTCGTCAGTGCTTCAACGATAAGGCGAAGCACGCCTCAGCGTTCTCGGCAACTCAGAAGTCCAACAGGGAAAAGAAAGAATTCAAATTTGTGAAGGAGAGGATAGGATTCCTTGAATGACGCGTCTTGCCTACCACGGGTGTTTTTTTGCGTGGGCACGGGATCGGGGGGTGTACTCATAGTCGTGCATGCCGTAGTCGTCAGACCATTGACCTCGCATCGGGGGGGGGGGGGCGGGGGGCGAAAAAAAAACTTGTTGGGACGTCCGTGTGTCCCAAGAGGTGCAAGAAATAAATCAAGAGGTGAACGCGAGGAGCATACGTTAGGGTATTTTTGTGTTTTTTGGCGTGGGCATGGGAGCGGCTGGAGTTGGGGGTTCTGGAGAAACAAAAAACTTGCGCTCGCCAAGGTACGCGATTTCGCTGTTGCACATCAGCTATAGCTGAGATACAAATGCATGTAGGCTTCCAATGACGTTTGGCATCTTGACTACCGGTGTTCGCTTTTGTCTGCATGGGCACGGGGGCGGGGGGACTTGTCTATACATGGATTTACATGAAAACAATATGCCCGGCTTCTTCGCTCTTGGACATCACCTGTCATTCAAGTACAGCTTTCTTCTCGGCCGCTGTAGAAGTAATACTCCTGGTTTCATGGGGTTCGATCTAAAGTAGAACTGTGAGGTGCTTCGAAAAAAGCATCACAATCATGGCGAAATTATCGCGGCTGCATCCACGCCAACAACCTAGTTTTGTACGGCGACCTCACTTTTTTCAATTTCTAGGGGCCTGCATGGATCATGTGATGGATTGGATTTGCTGAATTCGCACAAATGCTCTCATGGGCGCGGCCGATAGTCGGCTGACATTGCCACAACGTTCACGCCCTCTGGGCGGTCATGAAACCAGCTTCGCAGACAAGAACCATCGCGGTTCTATCAAACACGAACAGTCACAACTTTGTGTTTCGGGGGGAGGGCGGAGCTTGCTGTTAGCCGCTTCATATCGTACTGAAAACTCTTGGCCCAACCTCAGGCGTTCAGCTCCCCCTACACCGGTCAAATGCGTTGGGACACGCACAGGCAGGTTGTCTACAGAGGCTTCTTCAACACAAACGATAAGTTGAGCATTTTTTGTTGGGGTATTGTGTATAGATCGAACCACGTTTGTTGAGCATTCGGTTGTGCCCTGTTGTTCTCTCAACGGCCACCAAACGGTCTACTACAGCGAACCTCAGCCGCTCTCTCTTATAGACATCTGCATTCGTTAGACCCTACCAGCATTCTTACAAACGCGCCACCCAAAGCATGCCATCATCCATACCACGTTTAGAGCGTTTGCTCACGGAAAAGAACTACGGCTGCACCAGGTATGTCGTTGCTCTCTCTACAAGATTGCCCTCTCCCAAAATCTTATGCAACGCCAGGAGAGTAGACACTCCCACTCCCCACTCCCAGCCGCGCGGGACAAAAAACGAGGCAGGCCTATCCGGCGCATCTCTAGTTCAACTGCACAAACTTATCCTGGTACACATTCTTCTTTATGCACGTTAGGCACCACCCCTTTCGCGCAAGAAATTTTCGACTCCTACGCATTTTCAGTGCTGAATGCTGTTTCCACCCATGGCTCCGGCGCGCCATTCCCTGGAAAAACAGCCCTGCATGCTTGTGTAAAGCACTCCTTGCGAGCGAGTTGAACGCCCATCCCAGCCGCAACAAGCTTCTTTGCTGCGTCGAAGCAACACTGGGGGCGTGAGTAGTTACGAGGAACAGGGATGCGAGGAAGTTAGTGCGCACCATCCCGCCTACCGCAAAACACGTTCACGTCGTATTGTCACAAGAAAAAGGCCAGAATAACGGCGCCTCCAAGAAAATACACAGCAGCCGCTTTTTCACGGCAATCAAAGGGCATGGCATGGTTTACTCATGATGTGTGAAAGATTATGTAAGGATGCGTGCTTGCATTCTGCTCCCGAACCCTCACTCAGTTCGCGGCTTATACGTATGTACATATAATAATGCGTACAGCAGTAGTCTAGTGATGAGTGGGTTGAGTTTCGAGGCAAGCAGAGAGAGGTGCATGCATGTTCTGTGTATGTAAAGTCACTGCTGTAGGGCTTCGCTCAATGGTAAACGCATCCACAATTGGGCACGTCCACGGGCACCGAGGGCTGTCTACACTTTACAACCCAAACCTGACCCATACCAGTATGGACTAGAAGACAGCAGTATCGTGCCCTATGCATCAGCAGTGATGCCCGTATCCGCGTTTGCTGCTATGCTTACCTGATTGCGGCAGACATTAAACGTGACGCCAACACCACGCCTCTCCGCAGTAGCGGCCACATCCGCGTAGCTGACGCCAGCAATCGCCGCCGCATGGTAGACTCTACAGAGACCGGGGTGCTCCTTGGCGGCTTGGGCGCGCTGATCGCGCGTCGATCCTGTTGGTAAGGCTCCTGGCGGCTCGTCGTGATTACATGACGCCGTTCCGACCGCAACGGCAGCGTCGAAGACAATTTTTTGGACGCGTGCGATATATGCTCGTACGCCTCCTTGACCTGGACAAGGATGGCATGGCTGTCTCCACCCTTGAACTCCTCAACGAGGGGAGTGCTGGGGTATGCGTTTGCTGCCATGGGCTATCGTAGTGTGGCGTTGGACAGGAGGAGTGGAAGCGGAAGAGGATGTCGGCGCGATGTGCGGCAGGTGCTCGCTGCAGCCCAGCAGGTTCAACAGCGAAGTTGCGCCGCGTCGATCGGCGCTTGGTCAGAAAGCGCTACCAGGGCCCGACTCGAAGAAGCACCTTGTCCACCGATGAAAGGAGGCTCCGTGCAACGTAGGGCTTTGGTTTGAAGGTCTCGCGTTCCCTCTAGAGGAATAATCTTGAATGCCTCCTTTTCGTGCCCCGTTTACCACGCTTGCGCCAGTTGTTGTCTAAAAGCGCTATCAAATGTCCCCTCGATATTCATTCTCTAAAAGCCCCATCAAATGTCCCCTCGATTTTAGGGGACATTTCAGAGGACTTTTAGACTTGAGACGGCCCCGGCGGGCGCTGTTCTCTCCCTTGTACACCGGCCAGGGACTGTCCGTCATCGCCCAATCAGAGGGCGATTTTTTCTTTGCCCAATCAGAGGGCGATTTTTTCTTTATTTTTTTTATCTTTTTGGCGATAATTTCTCAGCCCTGATTTTTAGGTGCGTGGTAAGGCGTTTAACTGCTGTGTGAATTCTCTCTATTTATTTATGATTTGGAGGGAATGAATACACGCAAGAATCCCTCGGGAGGTCACACCTCTCTCCTGAAACGCAACCCATATATATATGTTGAAAGAAGGTACGCCAGCAGTACAGCAGTGGTAGTAATGTACTACATGTACTGCTGCTGCTGCTGCTGCTGCTGCTGCTGGATGATGTTCTGCTTTTAGCAACCACACCAGCAGCAGTAGCTAGCAGCAGAACTGCAAACCTAAAGAGGTGCAACGCGATTCAGAAAACACCGGCAGAGGTATACTACAGAGCACGCGGATGGATTTCGTTTTTTTTTGTGCCTCTTCTGTACAATTGTATGTACCAACCCCGTGTATCACTCATGCATCACAACCGCGGCCGTTCTGGGCGCGAGACACGGCGTGCCGCACCTTGCTTGCCTCGGTGCCCCTCGACGCGAAAGGAAAGCACTGGATTGGTAGCCATGAGGTTGTTCTAAAACAGAGCACACCGCAGCACAGCAGCAGAGAACACAGGAGCAGCACAAAAACCGTTTTGACCATTTTTTTGTGTACCACAGCCGGTTGCGCCGCCACCTCCTCACGCTCACTGCGCCACGGTCGCGGCCGCGCCGGGCGCGAGACACGGCGCGCAGCATCTTGCGTGCCTTGATCTCCCTCCTCGTGAAAGAGCCGGACGCTGAAACAACAAACAGCGCGTTTGTGAAATGGGACCACAAAAAAAACTACTGCACTAAACACTACAATGAAGTGCTACAGAGGTCACTCGGCACATATGCAGACTATTTACACGCGTGGCCATACACATTTCTTGTTGATACAAGATGATGTGCATCCCCAGTTGTTTCGCTTCAGCCTCAATCTAATGCAACATCTCTTACCTTCGAGATTCATGGCAACCGCTGTACAGTGCACCGACCAGCCAGAGCAGCAGCAAGGCAGTGTTGGATGTGCTCTGGTGTGTGGTGTGCTTGCGAATCCTGACACGCAGAGACTGCCAGACGGCGGAGCCCCAAACAAACGTACCGATTGGCGACGGGAAGAACCGGTTCTGAACATCCCCTGGTTCGGCGCAATTCAGGATTTCAGGACGCAGGATGCAGGATGCTGGATCGATGCAGGGTATCGGGTACAGGGTACAGGTCTACAGGGGCAAGCCGATTGCCGACTCGCTCTTTTTGTCTCTCTTCTCTGTCGTCTGCATGTGGCACCCAGGCGTTCTCTATCAGCCGGCTGGCACCGGTCTCTCTACGGCGTGCCGCTGCGGCCGTATGCCACTCTTTTCCGCACAGGATTCACACACCTCACCACTCTCACTACTCACTTCTACCCTCTCATCAACATACGCAGGCGATACTCCTGAGCCCGCTGTCCCACCCCGCGGTGAGTTGAGTTGTTGCTCTCCTGTGCCAAGCGGGTTGAAAGTGGCGGTTGGTCTCCTCTGCTATACATACAGCTGGTCCGGTGGTTGGCTGCCAGTGCGGTGGTGGAGCGCAGCCGAAGAGGTAGAAGCAGTTTTGACTATAGACTAGTTGGACGGACATATTGATGCGTACAGAAGCACTGGAGACTTAGCAGCTGCCCATGCGTTGCTGCAGCCGGAGTCAAAGGTTCTTCTCACGCACGACATGCTGTTATCAGTAACTTGAGGCAACTCTACCCCCTGCTTTAGTTTATCGTAAATAAACTGCCCTGCTCATCATGCAGCTGCCTCCAATCCAAGGTCCGCTGTCCTTTGAACGTGTCTGTGCGTGGTTGGTTAGGACGAACGAAAGCGTCGTCGAAATCAAACGAACGGCACGAGACTCGCGCGAACAGTCGGCGCGCGGTTTTTTTTCCCTGGCTTTTGCCAAAGTACTTCCTTGTGGAATTCGCCTTCTTCTATGCATGCATATAGATATCCGCGCCAGAACTGTTGGGTAGATTAAATTATGTCCAGCAGCAGTAGTCACAGCAGTACTGTAGCCTATCGATATAAACAAGCAGATCGATCTATTGCCACTCGAATCGACGGGGCAGAAAGACTACAATGTACAACAACAGTATCTATATATACGACTCTGCTGTTGTGGGCCTGGGTCGTCCTGTTCGATATCGCTATTATAGATGCAAGGAAGACCTTCACCGGCAGTCCGGTACATGCATCAGCACCAGCGGTCATGAGGAGAACGGATGCCGCTATGTGGCATGTGCCATGGACGTAGACAGACAGAAGAAAAACCTCGGTGTATATCGTTTACAATTTCTTGACAACAGAGTACAGTTAAATTGGAGACTATACCCGACATGCAAAAGAAGAGAGGAATATGACTCGTACAGTATACGCTGTAGAAGAGCTGTATAAAGCACGGTCGACATTCTGCGTAAGAATTCGATACAGGGACCACTGCTGTATCACAAGATGGTTGCCTGTGGGAGGGTGACGTGATGGTCGCACAGGGATTCGGCATGGCCGTACTGCCGGGGGCCAAGAAGCCCGACTTCAACAAGCTCGTGAGTGTAGTCCTTACCTCCTGCCTCCCGTTCTGTCGAAATTTTGGTTTGTGCGCCCGGTATTGCTACAGCTGACACACACGGCCGCCGCACTCCCCTGCTATCATTGTTCAATCGCGACGTTCGCGAGGCATGATGAAATCGTAGTTGTGAGGTGAATTGTATGCGTCAGCCCATGTTCGCGGAACGGGGTGATTTGCTTCCTTCTTTCTATTTTCGGCGAGATCTGTACGGTAGTTGAGGGGGCAGGAGGGATAGTAGAAGCTAGTACTAGAGTTATTTAAAACTCGATTCATGGACCGGCGGGACTCTTTTGGGCCTTTCGCTGCTTTGTACATTTTTGGTGAAAATAGATCTTCACAGGATAAAAACACAGGACTGTCAGCCTGCGCCAATATATCCATCCTCGGACAGCTGGTGTTGGGCGGGTGGGCTGCCGTTGTGGTGCAGCCAAATTTGATCAACCGCAAACAAGCAGCAAGCGAAATTAGAGTGCCTATTTTCAAGGTGATACGAATATGCACACCCTATACGTAATGAACGAATAGCGGACAAGGCGCCTTCGTCTCTGCCAAGAGCGCCCCCAACCCACGCTAGCTGATACTCTGTATGTTGGCACTCGGGCACGTTGATGATAACAAACCGTTGGTCCTTCTCTTTTTTTTGTGCCAAAGAGAAAACGAGAGAGGGGTTATATTGAAAAGACAGGCAGACAGGCATATACGCACACACACCCTGTGCATCAACGGCAACAACAACCTCCAGCCTCCCCGCCATGCCGACTAGGAAGGGCCGCCCCCCCCAAAAAAAAAATAACGGGGTAGCCTATTAGCTACGCGGCGAGCGTGTCTGTGCGTTAGTTCGTCTGTGCTTGCGTGCGATGGCGCACCAGAGAAAGCGAGAAAGAAAAAGGAGCACGACGAGAGAGGAGGGCAGAGGGGAAAAGAGAGGGTGCAGCAGCATGCAGCGACCTCACGTACGCGTTGATACGCATGCAGCACAACAAAAAATCGTTCGGGCAGTGCCCGAAAGCTTGGTGGAGGGCTGGCGGTGGTGGCGGCGTTGTTATGACTACTGTGTGCTGTGTCTTTGCTGTTGTGACGGCGGTGATGTTTGCTGCAAAAGCGAGGAGAGAGGAGAGGGAGAGAGGGAGAGAGAGAGAGCAGTCTGTTCGTCTCGGAACACAAATATATACTTGGAGCTCTGGAGCCCCAAACATATTTTTGCTCACGATTCATGCATTTTTGCCGAAAAGTTCCTCCCGATATAAAACTCGATTCATCCACTTTTCGGGCTCTTCCACTGGTTTCATGCATTTTTTCGAGTTATAAATAACTCTGCCCTTGGATGCACACGGTTCCGCTCCGTCGCCCCTAACCCAATGCCTGCTACCCCCGCACACAATACGTCAAACCGATCGATCCCTGTTTGGGGTACTCAGCATACTGATCTACGGAGACCTAGGGGGTTTCGTGTATCATTGGCGGTATGTGTTGGTCGAGGGGCGGTCCTCCTTCTGCTTTGCATGGGCTAGCATGCCCGCCGCACTCGTTAATATACCAAGGTCTTGAGTCAACCTTTCTTCACCACACACGATCGATCGTATCCAGCATGTTTCAGCGTGCCGCCCGGGCGAGCTCGGGACGTGCTGCGGAAGTCCGAGCGACGCGACAAGAGCGGTTACGGCCAGACAGTCCGGGCCAGAGAACTCTCCCCCAAATTTCTTAAAGACTGTAGCTGGTTCTCACTTCCGTGTCGAGAAGGAATCGTCCAGGTTTAGGCCACATCAAAATCAACGTCTAGAGAGCCTCGAAACAAGAGTACACGTGCAACCCCGCCATATTAGTGAAAGACAATCCTCCGTTTCCCACAGCGACTGTCGAGGCTGCCGCTTGCCTCAGAATTCGAAACACCTACAAGCTGAACGGAGGAATGTTGTTGTAAACAGCATTGTTGGAACAATTATCACGATGAGCTGCGTTTCCGACGCTTGCTCTGGTCGACATTCTCAAGAAAAATGAAAGCGGGTAACACTCATACCACGGTAGGGGTGAACGGATCGCTCCTGACTCTTCAAAGTGAGGAGCTCGGTATCTCAGCCTGGAATGGACACACTGACCCAACGCAAACCTGCCATGCGAAAAGTATTTGAATGAGCTAGATGAAACACAACTGGAATTCAAATGCGGAATTGATGTTAGAAAGTTATGGGTTGGATATTCCTCTGAATACATAACTACGAGAAGCTTCTGACGCAGAATGTGTTATCCCTACGGTGCCATGACTCGTCCCACCAACAGCAACATCCGCCCTAGCACCACGCGCGACGACGGACGAATCAAACGATAATGACCCAGACCTCCTTCTCAAGATGTTCCTACAAATGGGGCCAGTCTAGGTTCAACACCACTGTCACAGATCAAACGATAATGACCCAGACCTCCTTCTCAAGATGTTCCTACAAATGGGGCCAGTCTAGGTTCAACACCACTGTCACAGCCTAACATATTCCAGTTAACACAAATCCAATCGGAATGCTTCATCGGAGAGATGTTCGATGGTCGATTTTCATCACGTGTCGAGCATCATGTTGAGGCCCTTATGCACAATCAGCAACAAACACAGGCCCGTTGACACACTTGGAAGCACAAACAAGCCTTCACCCCGTGAGTTGGACGGGAAGGGAAGGGAGGGGGCACTAACCTTTGTCCCCGCCTCCCGTTGCATTTCGTCCCTCACGAACAAACACAAGAAACAATCCCAACCCATTTGTGTGGTATGCAGGGTAACGCTGTCTACATCTGGCGCTGCAACGCACACGCAACAGCGACCACCTATTGCACAATGCGCATCCGTATCATCTTCATGCGTGAATATTGAATGGCAAGGGGAAAAAGTCGCTCAAGCAGGGTTCGCTTGCCTTGGTGACGTGTCTCCCCTGGGCTACCCCTTTTGCGGCCCACCACACACCTCCCCTCCTTCGTCGTTGTACGGCGCTTCACGGTGTCTCGAGGGCTCGGTACCAAGAAACCGATCTATCAGGAACCACAGCTACCCGAGACCTCCTCCGCGCTATGCGCAATGTAGACTCTCAAGCACTTGATACTACTTTCGAGCGTGTGTTGTCACTAAGGGAAGCAGTCGTGAAAGGGAGAGGGTCGCCAACTCGAGACAGTGGGCATCAGGGTTTCCGACAGCGGTGGGCTTTTCATGCATGGAGGTCACAATTGTAACTATCCACATACCCGTCTTCTTGACGATATCCTTAGTGTGCAATCTACCATGCCAAACGCAGGACCCGGAAAACGGAGGCGTACCTCGACTTCAGGTCACAGAAGAATAGCTCCGTCACCAGTCACACTTCGTAAGGAGGTCGGCCATATCACTCCAGCCAAGGGTTGTTCAAAGTCAACTCCGAACGATAAGTGCTGCAGGGAGGCCGGCCACTCGACTTCGGCGATGGGATGGTTGAATTCATCTCCAAACGATAGCCGCTGCAGGGAGGCCGGCCACTCGACTTCGGCGATGAGCTGGTTGAATTCATCTCCAAATGACAGGTACTGCAACGAGGCGGGCCACTCGACTTCGGCGATGGGCTGGTTGAACTCATCTCCAAATGACAGGTACTGCAACGAGGCGGGCCACTCGACTTCGGCGATGGGCTGGTTGAAGTGATCTCCAAATTCTAGCTGCTGCAGAGAGACCGGCCATACGACTTCCGCGATGGGACGGTTGAAGTGATCTCCAAACGATAGATGTTGCAGGGAGGCCGGCAACACGAACTCGGCGATAGGCTGGTTGAAGTGATAACCAAACAATAGCTGCTGCAGGGAGGCCGGCCACACAACGTCGGCGATGGGCTGGTTGAATAAATAACCAAACTCTAGCTGTTGCAGGGAGGCCGGCCACTCGACTTCGGCGATGGGCTGGTTAAACATATAACCAACCGATAGCCTCTGCAGGGAGGACGGCCACGCGACCCTGGCGATAGGCTGGTTGAAATGCCATCCAAACCATATCTGCTGCAGGGAGATCGACCACACAACTTCGGCGATGGGCTGGTTGAACTGATCTTCAAACGACAGCTGCTGCAAGGAGGCCGGCCATACGACTTCAGCGATGGGCTGGTTGAACTGATCTCCAAACGACAGCTGCTGCAGGGAGGCCGGCCACTCGACTTCGGTGATGGTCTGGTTGAATCCATATCCTAACGACAGCTGCTGCAGGGAGGCCGGCCACTCGACTTCGGCGATGGGCTGGTCAAAAAAATCACCCAAGGATAGCTGCTGCAGGGAGGCCGGCCACACGACTTCGGCAATGGGCTGGTTGAACCGATTTTCAAACGACAGTTGCTGCAGGGAGGTCGGCCAAACGACGTCGGCGAGTGGCTGATTGAAGTTACGACCAAACCATAGCTGCTGCAGGGAGATCGACCACACAACTTCGGCAATGGGCTGGTTGAATTCATCTCCAAATGACAGGTACTGCAAAGAGGCCGGCCACTCGACTTCGGCGATGGGCTGGTTGAACTCATCTCCAAATTCTAGCTTCTGCAGAGAGGCCGGCCATACGACTTCCGCGATGGGACGGTTGAAGTGATCTCCAAACGATAGCTGCTGCAGGGAGGTCGGCCACGGCGCCATGCTCACGGGCGTATCCAATTCAAGCACCATCCATTTCAGCCTTTGAAGCCAAGACATCGATCCTAGGCTTGCTGTAGATGTATTCATCTGTCGACATTCTGATCCTGATCGCTGCTCGATAGCAGAACTTTGCAGCAGAACCTCCATCGGAAGTGCCCACGTCAAACCGAAAGCCTGCACAGCCGGAACGCGACTCGAGATGCAACCCTCTCCACTGCGCATGTCGGCTGTCTTGTGTGATTTACAAGGAGACCACAAGCTACGAGGCGTTCGTCGATGGACACGCACGTGCAAGACCGGGACACTTCTGCATGCCCCACAAACCTCCAGCGACACAAGTTGTAGCTCCAGCGTAGAAGCATACCAACGCCTTTTTCCTCCATCGCAAGCTTGGTTCAAGGCGACGATGAAGGCGTCCAGGCACTTGCTTCGTCCTAAGATAGTGCATGGCAGGTACGCACGTATAGGCACGTCAACAAAGTGTGTAGTGGGCCTTGGAACATCTTGATGCGCAGCTACTTGATTTCGGAGACAGGCAAGAAGGTAAGGCGATAGCAACCGCCCACAATTGACTGCCAACAGCAGCGCTTGGTGAACAAACATAGCGGTGTCCCGGAATTGATTACCTGTTCATGTCTTACATTCATCTTCGACACCCCTGATTTAAATACTGGTTGGGTCCGGGGGAAACGCACCATTCAGTAGGCGGCTGCAAGAAAAAGAAAAATATTAGACAAGAAAGGTTTTTCGGGTACAACATTGATGGGAGTCTGTTGCATGCAGCCGGAGTCATTCTTGAAACAAAATCACTACGCAAGACAAGGAAGGTCTCCACCACCACCCCCGGCTATACTGGGGCAACAGGTCTAAGGCAAACTCTTATGGAAAGAAATTTTTCTCTGGAAACCACATGATCAGGTGGAAATTCCCAGGTCAACACAAAGCCGCGGCGATTGTCAGATCAACCCATATTGTCGGAAAAAATAAAAACTGGCTTTGATTCGGCAGACCACCAACTGACGATTGGTTCCTTTCGAACGACCACACGCGACAGACATCAACAGCGGCTACGCCAGAGGATCGGGAGGGATACACATGCCTGCCTGTTGTTGAGCAGCACCACACCATCATTAGCACACGACAAGCAAATATGCGACGCCCCGATGCGCACTTGTAAATACAGCATCAAGTAGAAGAAATACCATGATCTGTGCCCATTCTTGTCTTCTAGGACCTTCCAGAAGAGGTGTCCTCCTTGCCTCTCTACACCAAATGCTCTCCACATATTCCTGGCTCGTGGACATGTTTTCGATTGGTGGGGTACTCGAGATGCCCAGCAGAGAGTCGACACACACGTCCAACATCTCATCTATATACAGTACATATGGCGACACCTACGTACCACCAGCTAGAAACACACGGGTGCGGTGCAAAGTGCAAACAAACGTGCAATTGGTGCCGCGCAGGTGCAACACCGCCTCCATAACGACTTCAAACCCAAATCCCAGCGAAACCTTCCCGGTTGGCTGTGGCCCTCCAAATCTTAGCGGGCAGGGCGATTTCAGGGTAACTGGGATTTGAAATCTCGGTTTTCCGGCAAATAACAGCACAACAAACGAGTGGTATGTCCTGTCGTCCATACTTCAAAACCAAATCTCACGAACTAGTTTCCTTCCTAAGAGTTGGTATAAACCCGAAACTTGACCATATACCCTATCACTCTCCGTTTGTGCGCCTGTATGTAGGATGACATGTATCATATACGTTGCAGACTTGTTTTGTGGGATCCACGACCATTTCTTCAAGAGGCATGACATGGACTACTCTAGTACATACGCATAATTCAGTTTCTCCGTGGGATCGGGGTTCATTTCTCGGCCTAGAGTCAACTGTCGACGCAGCCTTTCTGCCTCTGTCGGAGGAAGTCGTGTGCCTCGTCTAGTTTCCAATATCGGCCGCAACAAAGCGCCATCTCGTACACTAAGTGTTTCGTGAATGCACCCCGTTCTCCTCATGGAACATCCCGATGTATCCCTGCCGTTGCTTGCTCACCCCCGCTGTATCGCGTCGCTGAATTCAAACGACACCAACTGTATTGGAGCTCGGCTGAAGGACATGGCAGCTCGGTTGTACTTGTGCGCGAGTTCCGTTGCACAACAACTGCCCGTGCCGTGCCACCCGACCAACACGAGTCTAAGCGGACAAGAGCGAACAGGCTGTACGTTGATGTATCACAGATGTGCCCAACAAGGGCTGAGGACCGACGGGTGGGATGAAGACAGCGTGCTTTATTTTTTGCGACAGTGCCTCGGGCCAAATATTTCCTTTCGACAGTGGTTGGTCTTGGTGGCCTAGCGGCCCCTCTGCAACATCGCAATCCTCTACACCGCCACCAATGAACGTGGCACAATCGTAGAGGGTGTTCATACGAGCCCCAGACGCAAGGTGTCGCGACGGGCGCTCATGAGGGCGAAAGATGAGTAAGACGCTCACAGCACAAACATGTTTCCGTCAAGATTTGTCCCGAAAAGTGTGGAACAATAACAATCCATCCAACACGGGAAGAATTAATGAACACTACATTTGTTTACCCAATAGCCGCCGAGACCTATGTTGATCCCACCCTTGACAAGGAATTACTGAAACGGTTCTTGGCTGCTCCTCTAAAGCCACTACCTTCGTCGGGTGTCAAATGCTCCCGGCTTCGACTTGATTCAAAACAGACTTCCAACAGGCTTACACTTCTCGCAACATCATGTTTTGTCCATTGCAATACATGGCGCGGTCACGTTGTATCCCAATATTCAACGCTACTTATATATGTTCGCGTTTGATTTGGGAGTCGTGAGGGACACTCCAAAGTCTTGATTGAGACAAGTCAAAGCCAATTCACCTGCCATCCGTCCTAAGTAGGGCCTTTTGAAGACAACCCAAAAGGCTTTGTCTTCAGGCGGTCTATCGAGTGCGGGATCAACAGAGGTCTCGTCTGCTGGTGGGTCAACAAACGATTTTTTCTTGATTTTATCATGAGCCGCGGAGCGAGCGAAGCGAGCGACATTTTTCCATTAGTCCCCAGGAGGGAAAAAAGGCTCTATATATCGGCCAAAGTTGCGCCGCGCGATACAGGGGCCCCAAAAATTGGTTTCCGGAAAGCCTATTTAGCACACCTTTGGGACAAGAACGAGATCTATCGGGCACCGATTGACGATCTGCTCGCTTCTGAGGAAGAAGAAAAATAGCGCGCTCTTCTCCGCACCGGTTTCGTCGTGCTCCGAGAGCAGATGACCGTGCTTCACCGCCTATATTCGTAGGACATTTTTCTCCCCAACCCCGGGGTTTCTACGCAACAAGGCGTGCACAAAAGAGGAGATAGTGCGCCGGCGCGATTCAGACCAGGACAAGAAACACCGACAGAGACGCAAGAACACCACACCAACAAACGCATCACCGCTGAGACGCTGGTCTGAGACCAGCTATGAACACCAGGAGGGGCCGGGCCTATACGACCTGTGCACCGTGGGTATACTGTAGGCATGCGCCATGTGTAACCTGGGGGGTATTTATGATGTTAAGTGGGTCCAACCAACTGCTTCAAAAAGATCAGACCGATGATCACACGAATAATACACCTTCCCAAGTCCAGATCACACCTACCATCATCGAGAGAATCCGTCGAGAGCGTGAGGGTCTACTACTGCTGCTGCTGTGCGTTATCAGGATGGTTCCCCGCGGGATCGGTTCAGATTGCGTACTTGCGCCGCACTACTGACAGTCTTCGCAAAGAAAGCCGTGCCCTATGCATGCTGTTGTTGCTGCTGCAGGGCTGCAGCAGGGCCTCTCGGCCTCTCGCATCAAAGTCATGACCATCAACGGCTTTTTGTTGTTTCATGCTGGACTGCTTGCTTTCACATAGGCTTGAGACGAATGTGGCGGGCAAGTTGTGAGCCTGACGCAATATGTGCCATCTGTCGTGTCACAATCCCCATGTCTACGCTGCTGGTCGTGCTCCTCGACGGTGTGATGTGTGATACGCTCGCCGCCAGGGGGATGCCGCATGTATGTGTGCTTCTTTCCAGATGCCCAGATGTCCAGATGTGCGTGTTGGCGTCCGCACAGCGGGAAGACTTCACATTTTGTTTCTTTGTGCATGTGCATCAAAACGGAAAGAAACAACCGCATGTAAAGATGTAAAGTGCAAAATTTTGAACGGTGGTCGCTCCCGTCACACGCCTGCTGCCCCTCTGTGGTGCACGCGTAGCTGCACCACAAACGATTCACGCTGGTGTGTGTCGGGATTCGTGCACCATCAGCATCGCAGATCAGACTACTGCAAGGTATTGAGTCGAACCACGCGGCTCATTACCCCCCCATACCTAGTATCACGTGTTGGCAGGAATCCTGCGCAGACTATGTATTTCGGGACAAATAGACAGAAATATGTTGGTTTGGTAAACACCTCACGCCTCATGTCGGATTCGTCTTTCGCTGTCCTGAACTCTAGCGTAGACATCTTATTTTCACTGGGTTGCGTGAGCACCCTCCATCATTCGGAGTGCGCCACGTTCCATTTTCATGGCGCAGTCGGCGATTGCAATGTTTCAGAGGGGCCACCAGGCCACCAAGAGCACTTCGAACGCTTAAAAAAACTAGGTTGTTGCTCTCACGAGAGCTGTCCACTTTCTACACGCAAACAACCATCCTCGCCACATGTAGGATAGGAAACCGTGGCATGTTCCCCCCGCCCCTTCTGTAGCAGTTGTGATCGGAAAAATCAGAAGTCTGTCCCCCGACTAAATTCATCGAGGGTGGAAGGTCAAAGGAAACCCACCACCTGGTAGGTGCTCCCCTGAGTTGATCCCCTTCCGTATTAATTCGCTTCAGCCTCAATCCAACGCAACATTTCTCACCTTCCGAAGTCATGGCAACCGCTGTACAGTGCACCGACCAGCAGGAGGGCAGTGGGATGTGCCGAGATCGGTGTTTTTGAGAGGCAGGCGGGGGCCTGACGCGGGGAGACTCCCTATCACGAAGTAGACCAGCGGAGCCCCAAAATGTACCGATTGGCTACGAGAAGAACCGGTTTGACATCGCCTGGTTCCTGGTTCGAATTCGGTGCGGGCTGGTGTTGCAGCAGCTGTGTTGCAGGCATACAATAGCTGGTCGCCGACGCGCCCACTGTTTCTCTCTCCTCTGTCGTTTGCATGTGGCACTTAGCTGGTCTCTACCAGCGGGCTGGCGCCGGTCTCGCTAACGGCGTGGCCCGGCTGCGGCCGTACGTTCATTTAACAGGATTGCGCACCTCGCCGCTCACCGCCATGTCATCAACTACAGCAGTCATGAGCACAGGCAATGCTCCTGATCCCGCCCTCTCGTACCCGCGGTGAGTTGAGCCGTTGCTCTTGTGCCCCCAGTGGGTTGAAAGTAGCGGCTAGTCTCCTCTGCTGCAGCTAGCCCGGCGGTTACCGCCAGTGCGGTCGGGGCGGCAGCCGAAAGAAGAAGTACTGGGACCGACATGTTTCTTCCAAGTACAGTAGAACTCGAGCCAGACTCCATGTACTGGTATGCACAGCCAGTGAGATTCGCGTTCTTGAGTTTACTCTCAAACACGTCATGCTGGTATCAGTAGCTCCACAAAACACCCCCCGCCTTCTACCCTCGCAAACCGGCACCTCGATGCAAGCATCAAATTGACGGTTTTTGAGAACGTAATCGTACCGCTGCTAGAAGAGTACGACGGAGAAGTATGGGAACGAACTAAGAAGGTAGTCAGAGAGCTCGAGGCGGCGCAGATGAAAGCAGCGAAAGTCATCCTAAGATTCTCCAAGCGCACAAGTAATGCAGCCGTCAGGGCAGGACTGGGGCGCCCATCCCTACGATCGGGAAGAGACGCAACGAAGCTGAGACACGGCAGTATCGTATGTGCGGTACGGGAAAGGAGAGGTTACCGAGAAGCTTGGGAGGCAGGGTGGGCAAACAAGAAGAGGGTGAGACAACCCACAGAGTGGGTCAAGGTTGTACGTGACGTACATGGAAAAGGTTCGAAAGTGAGCAAGGCGATACGCTGGACGCGGAGGGTATAAAGGGGCTCAACGAGAAGATATCTGTTGCTTTTGCCGAGAGAGAAGAACAGAATCCAAGAAAAGAAACCAAGGAGAGGAGGGCATACAAGTGTACGGAATGTTGAAAGAAGGAGTAGGGTTCAAGGAGTACCTCCATGGACCAATGGGTGCAGGGACAAAGCTAAAGGTCGAATTCAGGACCGGGGACATTGGCCTTCAAGAGCGTAGCTGAAGATCTAGGGAGGTAGACGATGAAGACGCCAAATTCAAATGTGATTGCGGCTCCGAGTGCGAAAACCGTGTTCATGTTGTCGCCGAATATCGTCTGTACAAGGAGAGGGAAGTGTACATGACTGAGCTGGGGAAAGCAGAAGAAAAGTACGGGGAGATGTTTGAGGCACGGGATAGCCAGGAGAAGACGTTAGCTGTACTGGGGCATAGGAAGTGGGTTGAAAAGGCGGAAAGTGATATCGGTAGGATAGATAGACAAGGGAAGACATTTTTGAGCCACCTTTGGCAAGTAGGAAGGAACAATTGGCCATCGGCGATCCGTCCTGTGGGAACAATGCTTCGATCTCTCGAGGACGCGCGGTCAATGGTCTACCCGCCAAGGCATGCAAAACATAAGAGTACGCCCGTCCCCCGCCTTCTACCCTTGGTATACCTCAAAGTGTTAAGGGTTGCGATGTAGGCTTGCTTCTGCTCCTGGGGGACAGCGGAAGCGATACCATCATCGGTGTTGGTCTTGGCGCAAGTTTCCCTGCGCAACCCTCGACGGATCGACGGTAGCTTGCCCTTTGCAACCCGCTGCATCTGCTCTGCGTCTGTGCCCGTCGCTGGCTTGGTGCCCCGGACTCACATACTTCCCAGAGGCTTTCATAACAGTTCCCCAAAAAAGGTTGAGCTACAGGGTAGCCTTCCGTCCCACTTGTTGGAACTGCTGTACATTGTAGCAGTTTGGCCACGTGCGTGCTTCTGCTGCTAGGCTCTTAATCGCATGTATTTTGTGTTCGTGGAAATGTGTTTGTGCTTAGTAACAGCAGTGCAGTATGGCGCTCTCTCCTGCATACCCTTTCGAGCATCTTAGCGGTGTGGCTCCCTCTTAAACCCAGACCTTACTTGTACGCGAGAGGCCTACTGGCACTGGTCGGTCCTAAAGTTGCATGAGGTGATGTTTTCTTTCGGGTTGAAGTAGGAGTGTGTTTCTATGGGCAGCCACTATTACCCTGCCTTTCTGGACTGTTTCTCTCTTCTTCAGGCAGTGACGCTCCGACCGCCTCATCTTCTTCCCCAGCCTTACCTGCCCTCTTGCTCCCTCTCGATGCTGTTCGAGTCCCCAGAACCCAAGGCTTCAAGCGGTCGGTGGCAGCGCTAGTGGCGGCGTCGGCGGTAACAGCGAAGAGGAGATCGTTGGCTGATCTGCAACTGCCAACTCACTGGTGTGGTGCTTCTGGTATCCCACGTGGAGGCGGTGAACCCCGACGATGTTGAAGGGGGTTCGGGTTCGCACGGTGAGCCACCCAGCGGATCAAGACCTTGCCCAATAAGCGCTCATATAGTCTACTGGCGGTGATGGGGAGTATGAGCAGGTTCCGAATCTCATCGACGCGAGGTGTGTTCGCCACATGTTCGCGGTCCTGTAGCCTGTCTGTAGAATTTCTTAGTTCGAAGAGCACCTTGCGTGACAATCAGTGATCCTAGTTGCGCTCGTTCATATCTGGCGCCCACCGAATATATCTTCGCGTGACAAGTAGAGATAGGGAGGCAGTATCATTTCACGTGGAGACTTACAGTCACGATATAGAACGGTGGTAATCCGGTGGACAGGGCTAGAAATAATGGTTACAGTCAAATCGCACTGAAAGAGAGATATAGAGGCTCGAGAACAGAAGTGCGCGAGACCTTTGTCCTGTTTCTCATAGGTCATTCTGTAAGGTGCATGTCGTTAGCTGTTCGCGTTGAAGCAGAGGCCGCAAGGAAAACTTACACACCCTGTACAACTTTAACTAATAACTAACTAAAAGTTAGTTGTTTACCAGACAACTATCGGCTAGTTGTTCGTAAACACCTAGGTGCACGCGCTCCTGGAAGAGTAGTCATCTACAGCCAACTAGGTGCGCACGCTCCTGGAATAGTAGTCATCTACAGCCAACTAGGTGCGCACGCTCCTGAAAGAGTAGTCATCTACAGCCAACTAGGTGCGCACCCTCCTGGAAGAGTAGGTGTCTGCAGCCAACTAGGTGCGCACCCTCCTGGGAGAGTAGGTGTCTGCAGCCAACTAGGTGCGCACGCTCTTGAAAGAGTAGGTGTCTGCAGCCAACTAGGTGCGCACCCTCCTGAAAGAGTAGGTGTCTGCAGCCAACTAGGTGCGCACCCTCCTAGAAGAGTAGGTGTCTGCAGCCAACTAGGTGCACACCCTCCTAGAAGAGTAGGTGTCTACAGGCAACTAGGTGCGCACCCTCCTGGAAGAGTAGGTGTCTGCAGGCAACTAGGTGCGGACCCTCCTGGAAGAGTAGGTGTCTGCAGGCAACTAGGTGCCCGGGCAGTTGTCAATATAGAACATGTTCACGTTGTTTGTTGCCCGGGCAATTGTCAACCACAGAATCGCACACACTAACACCCAAACATAGACAGACACGGGCAGATGTCAAAATAGAACAGTTAGCTGCCGGCGCAGCAGGGGACTACTGCAGACCACGCAGTCGCACCCACAGATACACACGGATGGGCAGGTGTCAACAGTCAATACAGAACAGCTGCCGGCGCAGTAGACTACCACCGCACACCACGCACTCTCTCACACACCACCCAACGAGCGAACAAGCGCACCACATGGCGGCGGCTGTTCCACCAACCGACCCTACACCAGCACCACCAGCAGATGGTGGCCAGCAAACAGACGGAGGGATTGGTTCGTCGGAAGAAGAGGCAGTGACGGTCGATGATGCATGTTCAATTAGTTTTTTTCACGACCCAGTATAATATGCGGATGTTGTTTGGCAGGTCTCCCTCGCATAGGAGAGAGCTCCTGGTCATCTGGCTAGGTTGGCGTGTCATGCTCGCGGATCATCACACAGCATGCTTGAGTGTATTGTGGTTCGTTTCACCAGGAATAGATCGATAAAGGTTCACAAGGTGTAAGGTTTGGCTGATCTTCCTCGTCTGCACCCCTTTCTTCGTCTGCACCCCTTTCTGCGCAGAAACAACCTCTCACTGCTACTACCACTGTTAATGCGTTCTCCTTGTAACTCCAGGACAGACTATCAACTCTAACTAATAAGCCAGCTAAGTTAGTTGTTAGACAGACAACCACCGGCTAGTTGTTCGTAAACACCTAGGTGCGCACGCTCCTGGAATAGTAATCTACAGCCAACTAGGTGCGCACTCTCCTGAAAGAGTAGGTGTCTGCAGCCAGCTAGGTGCGCACGCTCCTGAAAGAGTAGTCATCTACAGCCAACTAGGTGCGCACACTCCTGAAAGAGTAGGTGTCTGGCAAACAACTACCACCTAAAGTAGTTGTACAGGGTGTGAAAACTTATCAGATTAGATACCCGAGATAGCGTTTGACTCAGCAGCCCCGATGGTGCTGTAAATATGTGCTAGCTGAATGACGCTATTTACTCTTCCAGGTGAAGTTTGTGTATTTCGTGTCAAGGGGCACGGCGCAACTGACTGAGGTCTACTCTATCCCTTGCCGTTCTGCGCCTCTCTCGTGTTGCACCCAACTCCTCCAATGGTAATCACGTGTTAGAAGGCCTGCGGAGACTCGGGGCTCTGTGGTATGAGTCCATGGCTTGCACAAACCACGGGATCCCATGTCTTGGACTCTCATGTGCCACCCGTTATGTCTGTCTGGGTGTGATAGCTCAACCCTACCATCAGCCCTTCAACGGA